CTTGACTTGCTCCAACACTCTCCATTATATAATATTGGCTGAACTCCCTGGATCCACCAGAACACATTTAATATAAAAATCTAATACATTTAGAGAGATTACCAATGCATCATTTTGCGGTAGCAACAATCCATCTGCGTCCTGCTCTATGAAAGTGATGTCGTCTTCGACGACTTCTCGAAGTCTCTTGGTTTGGGTTATTGATACCTTCGTATTTTTTCTGCCTAGAAAGTAGCCTCGTTAATCGCATTCCCCCCGAAAATCATGTTGATCGTCAGAAGCAGGGGATCTTCTTCTGTTTCTGAGGGCTTCGTATTATCACGATTCCGATCGTAATTGTTTTTAGCCCGATAACTTAAGAATTCCTTGAGATGGCCAATTTTTAGTAGTGTTGCCACTTTTTCGCGCATGTGCCAGCAGTCCCCAGTCCGGTGACCATTCGTCCCGTGATATTCGCACCACAAATTAAGATCGCTCTAGATGAGATCAGATCTTATTGGTTTTGGAAATCGTGCTTCTTTAATGTTCCTCATAGCCAACACCAACTCTACTACACTGACGTTAAAGTTATATTCTGAAAGTCTAGGATAAGAAGAATCCCGAGAACATGACGTTTCCTTGTTTGGTAATGACATGTTGTTCCAAACACGATCAATTATTCTATCGGTAACGAACCTGTCAGCCGACCGGAAACTTCTATCGCGTCCTTCGGCCTGTTTATAGGGAAAAAACTGGCTCCTCGAAGACTGTCGATCTGTATCGAAATCGTCTTTTGACTTCTCTATTCTTCTTCTGGTCACGACCCTTAACTAACGTCGGAAAATCGAGTGATCATCCTCAATCCTTATCTTCGACTCATATCAGTTTTGAACATCCACCCAAGTTGTCGCTTAGAACTTGAGTAAGATTTCTTTTAACTTCTAGGAAGCATCAGAACTTCTCAGATTCAAACCCTTGGTGAATGCTTCAGCCGCCCATTCATCCGGAACGCTCGGGAGCAACATCCTTTCCTTCTAGAATCGGGTTACGAATTCCCGCAGCAACATCCTTTCTCTTGCACATTTCTGGTCTCAGCATGGGCCTTAATGAAAGAATTTGCGAGGATCTCGAAAGAGTCTATGGAATGCTCGGGTAAAAGCGAATACCACGTCAAGGCTCCCTTCGCGAGAGTCTCTCCAAATTTCTTCAGCAAAAGTGATTCAATATCGTAGGGAGCTAAATCGTTCCCCTTCACCTCCATTGTGTAGGTGGTGATATGCTCTTGAGGATCTGAAGTCCCATCATATTTCAGCATGGTTGGCATTTTAAATCGCTTCGGGATCAATTATGGTGCCGCGATTAGTTTGTACGACAATTGAGTGTACTTCTTTGAATACAACCCTTTCAACACTGGTGGTGCGACCGGGATTTGGTCCATGCGGGCGTTTACTTCCCTCATAAATCGTAAGAGTTTGTTTTTTAAAGGATCACTCTCGTTATTGTGACCGAAACCGTTTGCCCCGGCCTTATCGAAGCTGACCTCGCCCCTCGAGGTATTGTTATCGACCCTTTGCGTTGTTTGATTTGTGGGAGCACCGGGAGGAACTGGACCCCGTATATTCGCGTTATTGGAAGCACCCGATAACCCCTGCTTTATTTCTGTCATAACCTTATCTTGTCGTGTAAGATGACCTAAAATGGCTTCCTGTTGCTCCTACAATACCCTTACCGCTTCGACGACGTGCTCTTCTTCAGCATCATCACGAGTCGCTTCCCGAACATGTCATGGGTGCCGCCTATCGTGGACTGGAGTGGCCTCGTTCCCCTCACTGCGGGTATCACTGATTGAATCCTCGTGCCACGGCTGATATCTTTGGGCCTCGAGGTTGTGTGTTATTAACACCATTATCTGCCATTTTCTATGATATTTTGCTAAGAATAAATAATCAAACACGTCAGTAAAAGAGGCAAGGGCTAACTTAATTACACAACCGTCTAAGCCTCACTGAGGGTGCCAAACTGTTTACACGTAAAACGGTACAGTTAAATTTATACATGATTTATAGACGAATGAATTAATTTGATCCTAAAATAATAGATGAATTAGATAAAATATGATACTTATCCTTGAGATGGAGATAAAATAGCAGAAATAATAATTCAGGGAGCAGGGCTTCTGGGTACAATAGCAACGATATCAATAAACAAGAAGATAAAAATTATATTGAGCTTTGAATAAAATATAGCGTGTATTTGACAGAAAAGTCGTGTTTACAATCAATAGAGCTCGCTATTTATAGCTGTACCCAGGTAACACGGTCCTAGGATCAAGATTCTCTTCAATGTCAATTTTGAGGGCCATTGAAGAATATGTAACGGCATGCAGTGAATGCCATATTCCTTGTAACGTGTCGTGTACTTAATGCTATAGAATATTTCTCATTAAATGCATCCATTTCATCTATGTGAGTATCATTCTCCCCGGTAACAGACGGGATCGTCGTTTTTGAATTCAAATATCTTCTGTCATCGGCTCCACGTGTCATTTCCTCATGCGATCATTTAATATAAACATATTTTACCCTATACAAATATATGTGATATGCTTTTAAAATATAGTAATATTTTACCTACATATACAATATAATTTTTCGACGAAAGATGACCAATTGATCACCCTTACTAGAGTATACCTTCGCTCCGGGGTACTATTACCTCTAAAATGTAACATTTCCTATCTAAAATCTCCATGTAGTGCCAACGTGGCATGGAGAGTGGCTTCATTATTTTTTATAGTGTGTTAAAGCGAGAAATTAGGCAAAATATCCATAGACATTTTTTTCATTCATTTTTAAATTGTTATTTTTATTTCTTGTCTTGTGTATTTTTCTTTTTCTTTCTTATTCGATTTTTTTCTTATTAAATTATTTTTTTTCAAATCTTTTGCTATAACAATAAATTAGTTGAAACGTATAATATATATATATATATATATAATAAAGCTTGGAAAATGAAAGATGATGTGGCATTTTTCTTTGACCAAGGATCACATTTGTCTTTTTTCTTATATTTTACACATTTTTTCTTATTTTTGCATTTAAAATATCTAACAATTAAGTATTCCTTACTTATTTATTTCATAATTTATATACTATTCATCTCTTTTCCTAAAACGTTTCTATACTTTTTTACCGTTACATGTTTTCCTTCACTTAAACCTCATCATTATTGCTATTTATTTCTTTCCTTTAAATCTTTTTATTTTCTTTCTATGCATTGGTTTTTTTCCCATAACTCAAAAATATTTTCAATGCTCAAGGACTGCTCCAATAGAAGTATTTTGCTCTCGAGACATCTAATTCTAATCCTATATTATTTTGTAACTTTATTTGTTTTACTTGATATCATCCGAAATTATAGTTTGTGTAACATTTTTATTCATGTTTGATTTCCTCAATTGTATTTGAATTTGGAAATGGTAGCTTCAGTCTTTCTTTGTTTTCCTGCCTCCCAATAAAAATAGAGATCAAAGGACTATGGTTAGCCAGAAATTGGTAGAAAAATAAAAGATATATCACTATTTTTTTTATAAATAAAAGAATATTACCCTATTAAAATGGAGTCATGATTATGCACCAATAAATTGACTTCTTTACCATTCTCCTATTCTGATTTTTGATTCTCACTTCTCCCAAATTCTTTTCACATAATTCTTGAAGTTTATTGGAAGGATTAAAAGTTTTTATAACACTTTATTTTTATATATTTTTTCTTTTGATTTACTTTTAATTGTTATACTGTAAGAAAATTATTACATTAATATGGTCTACAAATTTCCTGAATAAATTTAATGAAATGTAGTAAACTAAAGAATTCACATTTTTAAAAAATCAGCTGATTATTATTTATAGATGTAAATGTTATGGGAATGTTGTATTTGCTAATACTTTTGGTTTCCTGGTCATACCTTCGAGCCATGTTTACGAGCATCCCGACGAACTATTTACTTTTTGGTCCGTTCAAAAAAAAATGACGTGAGAAGTTTCTATAACCACACAAATACTTTGAGCGCGTCTTTTGATTTATTTAGGATTTTTTCTTAAACTCCGTGTCCAGTCAAACATTCAAACACGCAGAGTATAAGATTAGAATCTAGTATGTAAATGCCTTAATGGAAGCCAAAAAAAAACATTAAAATTGGTGTTTGGATTAGGAAAAGCTTTATTTTGAGTCTTGTACGGTGTTGTAAGAATTACTCCAATACGACGACAACAATAATAACAAACCAGTATAATCCCACTTAGTAAATGGTCTGGAGAGGTTAGTGTGTACGACTTAGGTTAGAGAGACTGTTTCCAAATAGACCCCGGCATCCTTCCCTCCTCCAATAACTTTGGTAGACTCGAACTCGCAACCTGTCGTTTGTGTCACACCAACCTCCAACGTGAAAACAACAGAATTGGTTTTAATTGATTTATTTTTTCCTGAAAAACGAGAAAGGTGTTCGACCCATCCGTCAATTCAATCTCCTTCGGCTGCGAACTCATCGGCATTCTCTTTCTCCGAACGCAATCGACTTGTAAGTTTGGTTGTAATACTTTTAAATGTATAAAAAAGACTTCAATCCTACTTTCTGTAGTTCAAATTTGCACTTCCATTTATGGGTTGAATCAAACTTCTATTACAGCAAGGGATGATGCTGAACCTAGGTGAGCTTTCACGTTTGCTACCGAGGATCAGTGCTTGAATGTGTTATATTTGATGAAAGCTCTCACGGGTTACTTAGAAAATATCATCAGGAAAATGCTGAGTTATAGTCTTAACTGTTTATTGAAGTGCTTGTTGTTGGATTTTGACCAAATGCCATTCAATTTATGATTATTTTTTTTGATTTTGCACCGGGTGTCCGAGTCTCTTCGAGACCCGACTATTCCCGGGGGTGCACAGGCCCTCGGAAAGGAGTTTCCCGCAAGTGCACCACGGTTAATTCAGGTTTTACCCAGTCCGATGGCCCTCAAAAATTGTTTGCACCCAGTGAGTTTCGAACTTGAGACCTTGAAAGGGAGCAAACCCCAAGGCTCAAGTCAATTGCCACCAGGCCAACCCCTGAGGGTTCATTCAATTTATGATTATGCCACCTACAGTTTGAGCTATCTAGAATTTAATGTTATATACATTTAGACCTAGAACATGCTTAAACATTGAGCTGTGGCTAACACTAAACACCCTTAGAAAATACCTTCTAGCCATAAACCTAGTATATGAGTAACAAAAAAGGCTATGTGACTTCTTTCCATTTGGTTAAGCCTTGGTAGATAGAATTAATCGATGTATGTATTGGTAAGAGGTAGCAGGCTATGTTGCTCGGACTCTTCGAAAATGTTGCAGAGTGCGTGCCGGATCCTCCAAAAATAGTGCATTTTTGGAGGATCTGACATTGGTACGACACCATTTTGAAGAGTCCGTGCAACATAGGTAGCAGGTACCTGGTGAATTGGTTGATGGGACATCCAAGTCTAAGTATAGAGCATATCAATTGAGGAACTTTCTTGAAAAGTAGGTTTAGAAATGTAGTTCCATGACGTAGATAAGTATAAAGAGCTCTGTTATAGGTAGAAGTTAAAGTGCCTATGGTTGGGGAGTGATGGAGGAACCACAGAGAGAGTACCATTATGCTTATGGTTCAAACGGGGGTAAGAATACAAAGTTCTTCAAACATGCTTCGGAGGTTTAATTACATTGACAAGTTGATTGGACAACAATGTTTTAAAATGTGGAGGGGTAATAATACAAAGTTTTTCAAACATCCAAGTCTAGAGCGATGGGACTGTTGTATTTGCTAATACTTTGGTTTCCTGGTCATTTACTAGTGCAGATGCATTCTTCCGATGTCAAACCTTATTTTTACACCTTCCAGCCATGTTTATGAACTTCCTGACCGTTGGCATGGGACGATTGCATAAGTTGTGAAGTGGCAAGTTGGTTTTCTAGAATCTGTCACCTTGAGGACTAATCCTGGCCAGTAAAAGATGGTTGAAGATGATGGTGCCATAAAAATAGGCATAAGCATGGGAGAATGAATCTGTCAGTAGTGGCTGTTTAGGTGTTATAAATTGCTTATCAAAGGTTCCACACTAGGGTATCACTGCACCTGTGCACCATAAGGATGGGATTTTTTTTTGTTTTGACAGAGAGAAGCCAAAAAATAATAAAAATTAATAATAATCTTTTTGAGAGAAAGGATGAGAAGCTTGTTTGTTCGCCTTTTTAATTGTTGGTAAAACTTCCGATCTAGTTGGATTTTACCCTTTCATTCCTTATTCTTATTTATGAATATTCCACAATGTATCCCTCTGATAAGCTTCATGTTCCTTTCTGCTGGGCTGGTTCTTACACATGCAGTCAGGAACTGCTGTGGTGTCAGTTTCACTCAGTTTCACTTGCTTTCTGTAGTACTTTGGATTGTTTCTAACAGGATCTCTGTGCTTGATTTGTGCATGGATTTTTATTTTCTGTTAATCGGGCATGAAGCTATTGTTGGACTTGCTGTTCTGCTGATAAACTTTCTCCTGCATTATTCCTAATTTGGTCGGATACACGTGCGGGTATCCGATACGGGTGCAAATCTAGAGGCCGGATCCTTCATGGTCTAAATTTTACGATTCGGAGATACGAATTCAGGTATGAATACCGGTGTGGGAATTCGTCTATATCTAAAAATAGATCTATAATAATATGCCTAAATTATGAGATATCTTGTGGAAAACTTACATGTAGCTTGTAGAGTGTAGTAACTCAATCTTTTATTAGGTTGCTATCTAGAAATCTATAGTAGCTTTTGTCTTGAGAAATCGATGCCAAATCTTATTTGAATGATGAAGAATCCATTTTAGACGTTATAGAATCCTTGTAAGAAGAACAAGGATACGTTTTTGCTTCTTTTGGAATCTGTAAATGGTTACTAGTACAACCTTGTGCTGGGCTTTTTAACACATTAATGTTACCTTTGTCAAAAAGAAAAATCAATGCCAAATCTTATTTTTAATTTCCCTGTAATTTGTGGTCAAAATACCCAATGTTAATTGACCAAATCCGGTACGTATTGCACACCCATACTAGTGTTGAAGTGGTGTCGACACGGATGCAGCACAACAAATGAAGAGTCCACGGAACTTAGTTATTTTCCCTCTTACAACAACAACAACATAAACAACATACCCAGTATTATCCCACACCGTGGGGTCTGGGAAGGGTAGTGTGTACGCAGACCTTACCGCTACCTTGTGAGGATAGAGAGGTTGTTTCCAATAGAGCCTCGGCTCCGGATAGTTTCCCTCTCTTATTGTGCTTAAATATTTACTCATCAGTGCGCAGACTCTGTTCTCTTTTAAATTCTGATGTAGATACTGAAGCATTATGCAATCAAGAATGGCTGAACTCGAAGAGAAATAGGTAGACATAAAAACAGTCTCAGGACTAGTGCAACAGCAGTCTCTAAGGTGTAGTGCTCATGGCTACTCATCGCTAAGGCTGTTTTTTGGTACTAAAACTTTGGCGGATACCTGTTAACTTAGTTAGAGGTAGTAAATGCTCATTTTTTGTTCGTATTGCACAAGATTATTTTCTTAAGGTTTGCCCAAAACTGGAATGCAGGCCATTTATTTGTATGTTATTTTGTACAGGTTATTAGAGTGTTTCAAACTGCTCCTGCATTCATGTCCTGCTATTCTCTTTAGTGGTGATGGATCGACAAGCTCATGATTATGCTGCTATGGCTTTTTCTCAGCAGCAGCACCAAGCAGCTAGCATGCAACAGCAACAACAGTTTGGTTTTCATCCCCAGCATCAACAATTTCCTCGTTCAGTTCATGGTCCTCCATTTCTGCCTCCACATTCTTCTCTTCAACAGTTCCCTTACCCTCGCCCCATTCAGCAACCACAACTCCATCCACATACACTGCCTCCTCAACTTCAGCATCAACAGCAGCCACCTCCTGCGTTTCCTCTACATATGCCTCCTCATCATGCACCATCACCTTTCCACAATCCCTATGATTCTCCACCGCCTCCAGCTCCTCCACCATCTGATCCTGAACTCCAAAAGCGTATTGATAAATTAATAGAGTATGCTGTCAAAAATGGTCCCGAGTTTGAAGCAATGATCCGCGAAAAACAGCAAGATAATCCAGCTTACAGTTTCCTCTTTGGTGGTGAAGGCCATTACTACTACCGCTATAAGCTTTGGATGTCTACTCGCCCACCTGGTGGACCTTTTAATGCTCCTTTTCCATCCTCTTCTTTGCCCATGATGCATCCACCAAATCCTATGATCAGTCCATCACCTTTAAGTCCCACATATAGTGGCTCCAATACCGCTGCTGGGGCTTCTGCTGCAGTGTTGGGTCCACCTCATTTACATCAACCTCCTTTCCCACCATTCTTTGCACAGCAGTCCTCTCAGGCTTTCGGCTGCCCAGATTATGATAATTCATATAGGTCTTTCAAAGGTTTATCAAGGCCTCTTCCATCAGATGTTGAAATGGAATTGAATAATGTACTAAACACTCTTAGTGGTACCAAAGAGTCAATTAAAGGTGCAAAGAGTTGGTTCATGCAGAGGTCTCCATTTATACCTGCTTTGGCTGAGGCAATCAGAGATAGGGTATTTTCTGTAGATGACCCTGAGAGACAGCTGCATATAGTCTATCTTGCCAATGACATCCTATTCGAGAGGTAATATATCATTTAGTTACCTGATAATTTACTGCACAAGTAGATACCTCTGCCTGAATGAATTCTCTATCTTGCCCGAAATATGAACTAGACTTCCTTTATTTCCTTTTCACACACACAAAAAAAGAGAAGCTTTTTTCAGTTTAGCCTTTTTCTAGAAGGAAAAAAATGTCATCTTTTCCTAAAAAGTTGTGTCACTTTGGTGCATCTTATTGATTTCTTGTTACAGCTAAGCAGTATTAAACATGCCCTTATAATCATAAAGAATTAAAGAAACTGAGTACCTGAAACACTCTTAGGCATCTGAAGGCAGCTTTATATCACAGATCTTTCTCTGTCTTTCGATTCCCCCGTCCTCCCAAAGTCCGGCAGTTTGATAAGGTTATACTTGATGAATGTGAATTTGAGTTATATGAACTTTAATATCAGCCCCACCATCACAAGCTGATGCCAGCTTTGAATTAAGCAAGGAAAATGGGTGTACTCCTAAAAATGGTAGGAGGTATAGAACTTGGAAGAAAACTATTTTATCAAAGTGGAAGGTAATCCTAGCTATGATGCTCATCTTATGATTTTATGGTCTTTTCTTTAATTTGGGGGAAGAGCAATGCCGAAATGTGGAGATGGTACACCCTTAGATAGTGGCCAGATAGACACCTCTACTTGACGAAGATGTGTCTCGTAAACTTCCATATCTTGCCTGGCATATAGTGTGTCTCACACTCAATATTAAGCGAGTAAAGTTTTGATTGTACTGACAAAGTTTAAAGATATTAATTAAAAAAAAATCCCCCCCCCAACCACCAAAAAAAAACTCTATTCATTGCAGATTACCCATTGCCGCCATCAACAACATAAAGAATCATTGGAACATCGATCTCTTGAAGAAACTTAGGGTTGCAGGAATACAACCAAAAGCAAAATGAACTAATAAAGCAGTAAAAAAGTAATACGGAAAGACAAATAAGAGAAACCAAGAGAGGCCGCAAATGAGAAGAAGAAAAAACATATGGGTGAGCAGTAAGGATTACAGATGGACATTATCCAAGCAAAATTTGTAGTATCTAGTTGAGTTTTGAGGAAGAAAAAAAAAAGGATCCAGCGGTTATTCCAAGTTCATCATTGTTTGTGCTTGAATTAGAAGACAATATTGTTATTTGAGAGAAGCTTCAGTTTGATGAATTGCTGATAGGAGGGGGCTGATGGAGGAGAACAGAGTACTCCATTTGTTCCATTTTATGTAGCAACATTTCTTTTTTAGTTCGTCCGGAAAAGAATGACAACTTTCTAAATTTGAAAATAATTTCATTTAAACTTACCTTTTTATCCTTAATGAGAAGCTTTTATAGATGCACAAATGTTATGGAACATTTTTAAGACCACAAGTTTCGAAAGTCTTATTACCACACAAATGTTATGGCATGTTTATGACCACAAGTTTCAAAGTCTTCTTTTATTTCAAACTTTGCCATATAAATTGGAATAGAGAGAGTATTTGATAGCTTACATGTGAATTTGCAGAAGAAAAATGGAGGGTAAAGTTTGCCTATTTTTTTCTTCTGGGAAGAAGGAGATGGGGTTGGGTGTGGAGAGGGGTTTTTATTTTTCATTTTTGCATTTTTTCTTCTAATGACACGTTTCTATTTTTTGATGTGTCTCTTTATCTCATTCGTCCATTGACACATCATCGGCATTTAATTTTTACGCGCTTGATTTTGCTGGCCAGTGTATTTAAGAAAGACACTTCTGTCAAATATAGGTGTCTATCTGGTTACTAGCTAAGTTAGAGTGTCTAATTGAGAAAATCGTGCCAAGTTTGAGGGGCTATCTGTGTATATTTTTTTGGCAATTAATTTCCTTTTGTATTAATCACCGAAGATCAAGCTTTACTATTCCATAGTCCAGCATAATACTCCGCTGACTATCTCAAGTTGTGAAACGTACTGCTAAGTTACAGAGAAATTAACTAAATTACTCTTCTAACAAAAACTGCTGCATTTGATTCCTAGCTCTAGGAACTACTCTTAACATTACAAATGTAAGCTATTTCTCTTGCTAACACATCACTGTTACAATATCTTTGGTCAAAAATACGTGTGTTCCTTTCAATCCATAATGCATATGAAGTTTCAGCATATACCATTCTGAAGATACTGGCCTTGTTTACTTCCCTTTGCCTTTCTTGATAACCCATTGGAGATGCTGATCCCAGTTGTGATTGGTCATTTGATCCTCTTGAATCCATCTCGGTACTTTCTTCCACAAAGCTGCTAACGAACATAGTATAAACAAGTGATCTCTTGTTTCCATATGTCCTTGGCACAGAATACATTGCTGATTGATATTCGATCCCCAGCTAGCTAACCTGTCCTTGGTAGGCAATCTTCCTTGAAGCATTAACCATAAGTTGAAAACAGCCTTTGGTCGAGCAGAATTCTGAAACAGTATACACTTCCAACTTATTTTTGGTAAGTCACCTAATAACTGTAAGTATAGTTGTCTTATACTGCCAATGTGACCATTTGATTTCTGAGCATGCTGTAAAAAACTTCTTGAACCAATTATTTTCCTTACCATCCAACTAGCCTGTTGTGGGATTGGCATGTGCTGTAATTGCTGCTGCTTGATGTAATAAGCATTAATCCACCGGATCCACAATTTATCTTCTTTATGGGCTATATCCCAGTATACCTTAGCAATTGCTGCCTTGTTCCACAGAGATAAGTTAATGAGGTTCAAGCCACCAACAGATTTAGGAGTACACATCTTCTCCCAAGCCACAAATGCCTTCTTAGTAATAGTGTTACTGCCAGACCACACGTAACTTCTGCAAAGAGCCTCAGTCATCTTTAGAACTATAACAGGTAGGATGAACAACTGAGCCCAATAGGCTTGGATGCCAAATATAACTGATTATACTAGTTGCACACTACCAGCATAGGATAGCTTCCTGGCAGTCCATGAGGAGATCTTGGTTGTGATTCTTTCAATCAAAGGCTGCCATTGGATCAGTGCTATTTTCTTAGTGGACAATGGGATGCCTAAATATTTGAAGGGTAAGGTTCCTTGCTTAAATCCTAGATGATCCAGGATCTGCTTCCTGAGTTCTAGCTTCACTCCACCAAAGTAAACTGAGCTTTTACCTAAGTTAGCTTGTAATCCTGAAGCCTCAGAAAATTGGGAGAAATATTTGTACATTGTGACTATAGAAGGCAGATCACCTCTGGCAAACAAGAGTAGGTCATCAGCAAAACTCATATGAGTTATGTCTAGTTTCTTGCATCTGGGGTGGTATTGAAAATTGGTTTCCTTTTTCAATTCATTGAGAGATCTACTCAGGTATTCCATCACAATAGCAAATAGGAAAGGAGATATAGGGTCTCCTTGTCTAAGCCCCTTAGCAGCATTAAAATGTTCAGTTGTTTTTCCATTCACAAGGACAGTATAGCTAACTGTTTTGATACACTCCACGATCCATTTGATGAATCTATCAGGGAAGCCAATCTCCTCCATCACCTACTGTAAGAAGATCCACTCAACTGAATCATAAGCTTTTTGGAGGTCAATCTTCACCATGCACCTAGGGGATATTTGGGCTCTAATATAAGACTTGACTAGTTCATGAGCCAAAATTATATTGTCTGCTATCTTTCTGCCAGGGATAAAACCAGCTTGGGCTTCACAGATTATACTTGGCCTTTCTGTAGTCTGGCAGCTAAGATTTTGGAAATTATTTTGTATAAAACTGTACAACAGGCTATTGGTCTGTACTCCTTGACTGTGGTGGGCTTATGTACTTTAGGTACTAGAGTAATGGTAGAACAATTCACTGGTTTATACATCTTACCAGTGGAGAAGAATTCTTTGACAGCTCTTTTAATTTGATTGCTGATGATGCCCCAAGCCTTCTTGAAGAATACTGCATTAAAACCATCAATCCCTGGTGCTTTGTCATCCCCAATAGTTTTAAGACTCTCCATAATTTCTTGATCTGTTACTTCTGCACATAACTCCATTCTTTGCTGATGAGACAGAACAGGACCATTTTTCATGTACAGTCTATTTATGGCAGTAAGTGAATTGGCTGCTGAACCCATTAGTATCTTGTAAAACTCCATAATCTCCTTTCCAATAGCTGTAGGATCAGTCACCTTATCCCCTAAACGTTCTTGTAAAACTCCATAATTTCCTTTTCAATAGCTGTAGGATCAGTCACCTTATCCCCTAAACCTGCTGTAATATCTGTAATCTGCTTTCTTTGAGCTCTATCTTTCATAACTGCAGTAAAATACTTAGTGTTAGAGTCACCCACTTGAATCCACTTTGCTCTTGCCTTCTGCTGCAATGCACTCTCCTCTATTAGAGACCACTTCTCAAGGTTGAGTAGTGTTTCTTTTTCCCTATGCAGCAAGCCATCAGTATAGGAGTTTGTAAGCTGCTCCTGGATATCCTTCAATTCTAGCCTAGCCCTTTCAATTCTCTGAGTAATGCCCTTGAATTCCTTAGCATTCAAAGCCTTTAAAGGAGCTTTCAATGCTTTTAATTTTATCCAAACTGATTTCAACGATCCATAAGTACTTGAAGAGTTCCAGATGTTTTCCACAATCTGATAGAAATCTGCATGAGTAGTCCATATGTTGAAAAATCTGAAAGGCACTCTTCCTGTCCAAGATGAAGCTGCTAATGTTAGTAACATAGGAGTATGATCTGAGATTTGGGGTAGATCATAGATAGTCTCCACATGTCTCCAAGACATCATCCACTCATAGTTGCCAAATACTCTGTCTAATCTGCTACTCACCCTATCTACACCCTACACCAGGTTGTTTATTAGTCCATGTATAATATTCTCCCTTCCAAGATAATTCTGTTAATCCTGCTTGTTGAAGACAGTGACCAAACTCTTGAATCTCTGAATAGCTAACAGGGTTACGAGAAAGTCTGTCATTAGGATATAATACTGCATTGAAATCCCCTGCAATTAACCATGGGCTTATAATGCTTGTTGATAGTTGCTGCAGATTATCCCATAAAGTTCCTTCTTTGCTCTATCCCATTAAAACCATAGACAACAGTAAGATAACAGTCTATATCCTCCCTTCTACTTCTTACTTGACAATGAATCATTTGGGGATCATCTTTAAGTCCAGTCACAATGAGATGGTTAGCATCCCACAGCAGCCATTACCTACCATTCCTAGCATCTTTGTAATTAGCCAGCATACTCCATCCAGGAACAAGTGCTTTTGAAATTCTTTGAGCATTTCCTTCTTTGACCTTGGTTTCTACAAGTCCTACTAACTTTATTTTATTGCTTCTAATATACTCCCTAACCTCCTTCTGTTTATATCTTTTATTTACACCTCTAATACTCCAGAATAACCAATTCATTATTGATTACTGGTTCCACCTCTATCCCCAAGTGGTATGTGAATCTCATACTTACTATTAGACACTGCTTCAAATCTGTTTCTCACTGGAATGGGAGAAAGAGGAGGAAAGTTGATGAGATTCAGTTCTAGACTTTGCACTGCTTTGCCTTTATCCTCTTGTCTTTCAGCTATAGTCACCACACTAGGCTGAACATTGCTTTCCTTAGGACCCTGGATATCATTTACTATGTTGATAGTAGCTTGTTGTGGCTCAGCTGGGGCTATTTCACTCTGCACAGGGCACTGTAGGCATTGGAGCCTTGGTCTCCATTCCTGTGTGATGATCTTATTGGCTTTTGGTTTCTTAGTTTGAACAGGCTGTTGTGTCCCAGGTTTCATTTGGTTTGAGCATTTGTGTCCCACCACTAAACACTTCTCACAATAAGTAGGTCTCCAATCATATGTGACATTCTGTAAGAACTTCTTCCCAGTTGGATCCATCACCCAAATTTCACTTGGCAAATCTGTGGAAACATTAACCTCAATGAGCATCCAAGCAAATGATACTCTAGTCTTCTTAGTGGTGCGCTCATCAGCAAATATAGGTCTCCTAATCACACTAGCAATCCTGCTCAATGAACCTACTCCCCAACAAGACATAGGTAACTTGGGAAATTTAACCCATAATGGAATAACAGTAGGAAATTCCTTAGTGAAATCAAAATCAGGTGTCCATGGTATTAGGATTATAGGCTTATTAGCTATTGAATAGGGACCAACACACAGAATTTCATGGGCATCTTCAATGGTTTTGAATCTGATTATGTAGTAACCTTCATCATGATAGAATAAATCTGGCTCAGGTACAACCAATGCAAATTGATGTATCTCTTCATCGCATTGTACCCTGAGCCATCTCCTAAAATATAAGCAATCAAAGCACATTTCCATTTGTTTTCTTCCGCTTCCACTTCTAATTTGTCTAATTGAACCATAGGTTGCCCATCTACAATTGCCCATAGATTACCATTTGTAGCAAATCTGTTCTTCTGAAATAGTGTTGCCCATGAAGCTTTGGATTCTTCTACCTTTTCACTGACTTTCGCTGCTGAGCTTACTTGATTCTGAGCTGGTTTGTGCAAGTTCACTATTCCATTGGTTGGAACTATCATCGCAGCTGATATGGACCCAATCCAGCTTCTTAGAGACATTAGAATGGCTATCTGTGTATTTGCTCAAACCTAAACCAATTGTTTGAACAACTAGCAACAAGATTACACAATGTACGTTAATAGAGTAGTGAAGATAGGAGAAGCAAGATATAAGTTTGAGAAACAATCATAAGCAGAGGCGTATGTAGTGTTATAATACCGGGTTGATCTGAACCCAGTACTTTTGACGCGAAACATAAATTTAGTTAAAAAATTCACTAAAATTGCAACTTATAGTGTGTCTGAACCCATAACTTTATAAATACAATAGGTTCAATATTCAGAACTTTAAAGTTGAACTCATAGTATTTAAATCCTGGATCCACATCTGATCATAAGAAACAACAAAAAACAAAAACCTCCAAAGATAGATGGCCTTGTGTTGAAAAAACATATAAATTAGGTTATATAGTGTTTGTTAAGGCTCACCTAAGGTGTGAATAAGCCTCTCGGTCTAGCATGGGTTGGAAACTAGCCTCACTCAAGCGCACTTACTGCAAGCACTAAGATGCTAAGACATGCATATGATCACCATTGGGTTCCGTCTTGATGATGGCAATAATGAAAAATAAACTTAGTTGACAAAGTAATTTGTTAATTGGAAAGAGAACGTCAAGAATATGTGTGATAAAATAGGAATTGGAAATTAGAAATTTGGTATGAGTAAACAATTGTTGTATCAAAATTAGAAATTTAAAAGCATGTGAATCAACACTTTAACATGGTTTTTCTATTTGATTTACATCAAATTTATTTTACATGTCTCACTTAATTGCAATTTCTTCATTCGTTTTTCCATATAGCCATTGTTGGAGTTAACCGTATTCTTTTCTTTCTATTACCCACACGTATATACATTATATTGTATTCTAAAACGAGATCAGTATTTCAATTTTTTAAATTAAATGCAAAAACAATCTACACTAAATTAAACCGGTACTTTGGGTGCAATATGATTTGGATTGGTTAGTAAGCGGTTTTTAGAATTTTTGCTCAGCCCTACTTGCCTCTACTTGCTGTTGCTTTGGTGGTATTCACATGACAGCTGTGCTCAACTTCTGTTTGTGTATCACCTACATGAGGGTTTTAGGCTTTGTGGTCTTAGGCGCTTATTGACATGCACCAGTTGCATGTGCCCTTGACTTTCTCAAAAATAGCGAATCAAGTGAATGGATTAACAGCAATTTGGTTGGCTTAAAAAAATGTATATATTATTTCTCCTTAGTTTTAATGCATTTCCGCTTCCACAAAACTCCGACATATAAGTACTGTGTATGTGTGTGACTGCGTGTAAAAGTGTGTGTGTGTGAGAGGGAGAGACACATAGTTACTCATGTTGTTTTTGATATTTGCAGCTTGCAACGGCGAATCAATCCGCATGAGCTTGACAATGAGGCACTTGTTTTTAAGCCTGTTTTGGGTCCCATGCTTGCGAGGATATATCACAATCCTCAAAACAAGGAAGAAAATCAGTCTCGGCTACAGAAAATTTTACAGTTTTGGGGCTCCAAGGAAGTCTATGATCAGGATACAATTCGTGCACTTGAAAATGAGATGATGAGTAGGCTGCCTGCAAATTTTACTGGTCCTCAAAGGGAACTACTGGCGACAGATCCTCCTTCTGCTGCAGGTAGTTGTGCTGCTAATCTAGCTGTAATAACTGAAAGACTGTTTTTCGATTGTTATCTATTTCTTTCGGCCAATCTGAACATTTACTCATGGTTGATTTTCTTATTATTCTTTTCTGTACGGGTTTTTAGGATTGTCACACCAGGTAGCTAACCAGAGTGCTTTACAGTGGAAGCCTGACGAGCAGGTGCCTCCTATTCCTAATTTAGCCAATCAAGATAAAGCAGTTCCTCCAATGCCATCTGTGGCACCACATCAATTTCATCCTGGTGTAGTTCCACCCACTAGGTTTCCTGGGTTGATGCCTGTGCCGTCCTCTGTTCCACAAGGAAATCTACAAGCTGCAGCTCATCCCATGCCAGCATCAACTGCAAATGTAGGCGGAAAGTTGCCTCCGTACCCATTGTTTCCTCCTGGTCTTATTCCTAGTATGGTCAGGAAGATGCAGATTGGTAGTGGGGTGCCTTACTCTCCCATGAGCCCTTTGGATATCCCCACCATTATACCACCCTCCACCGTGTCAGAGTCTGAGATTCTGGAAAGAGTGTCCAAATTTTTTAGGGAGATTGGAGAAGTTAATCCATCAGAAGGTCCTGTTAAACCATCTGATTCAGCCAATAATTATGACGACTATGAGAGAGAGCCTCCTGTTCGTAAGGGAGGAGCGTGCATCCCTCCACCTCAGAATCTCCAAGTTGACCCTGAAACTGGGACTTACCCTGATGGAAGTGTGGAGCAAAAACCTGGATTGAATAATTCCGTCCGGTTAGGACTTGGAGCCACTATTAATCCAAATGAGTCAAGTCAATACGGTGATGTTTACTATTCCTACAGAAATGAAAGAAGCACCAACTACCATTCGTCGATGAGTGCAAGAGCTACGAGGTAAATTCCTCATCATTTTGACTAGTCTATAGACAGCAGATAGCATTCGTGACCAATATCTTTGCCCTTTTTTGTTGCTGTTGACAGGACTCAACAGTTCTTGTCTCTGTAATTTTTAAGTTGAGGCAGATTTTGAAAGACAGATTTGCTAACGTGCAATAGAATGAATTAGATCTTGCCATGTTCTTCCAATGAATAAATAACTAATTAGCTGTAATGGTTGGAGAAAACCAACGTAAAAGTTGAACAGATGATCTTTGAGACATCAAGTTCTCAACATCTTATGCTCACTTAAATGGGAAGTGGAGAAAAACTATCCTTATGCGTCGTAGGGAATGATGGCTATACTTTTGGCCAAAGCCAAATGGATACAGAGATCATTCCCAGGAAAACAATGTCCTGGATAAATTTTTTTAAATGGGCACAACTTCAAGTAATTATTGTTGTTGCATGTGCATTACCTATTTACTCTTTTGAAGTTTGTGGTTTTGGATGTCAAAAGCAATATAGCCTATTTGAAGCATCTTAGTAGGTGTTTGGACATAAAAATTTGTAATTTCTGAAGAAAAAAAAGTAGTAATTGGAGTTAAGTTGAAAAATGATATTTGGAATTTGAAATTATGTTTGGACATGCATTACACTTGAAAAAATATTGTAGTTTTATGAGTGGGGAAGTAAAATTTCTGAAAAAGTGATTTTGGAAAACTCATTTTGGATTTTTTTTTTCAAAAACTTGCAAAATTTCATGGACAAATACGTTTTTGAAAAAAAAAAATCTATGGACAAACTGGTCCGTAGTTCCTAGCATTTTTTCAGAGGATGGAGATGTCGTTCATGTCGGGTTCTAGACTCTCTTCCTTATACATATTCAGTTTTATTTTGAGAAGTATCACTAAAGTATGGACCTAGAATAAACGTTGGGTTTATTCGTTTAGAAGTATAGGCTTAGGTTTAGAGGCATAATGCATTGTGATACATGGAAGATACTACTCGCTCTTGGAGGAACTATTGCCATTAGCGGTGTTCATAAAAACCTGAAAAACCGAACCAAACCGAAAGCCAAATCAAATCGACCAAAAAGCCGATACTTTTTGGTTAAGTTTGGTTTTGGTTTTGAATTTTAAAAACCGATCAAATTTGATAAAAATTGAACCAAATTGACTACAGGAGTAGCTATTTCACATTTATTATTACACCTATATATATGTATATTTTTATACAAAATTTAAAATTTTTTATGGTATGTTAATCGTTTGCACTTTTAGTACATTTCTTTACCTTTACATTCTAGTTTGATGGTAGTTTTCTTTTGTTAAGTGTAAGAATTCATTTTATGTTAAAAATAATATATATTTTTAATTGAGTCCTTAAATTATTCATCACTATTTGATTCAATTATCATCAATATATCTTGGAAGATAATATATTTCTCAAGGGCAATCGATTTGACGGTGCATGTTACGTTGAAAATGTGATCGCCGGAATATTTAGTTAGTAGTGTATGTCTTATATTTAAGAAAAAACCGATAAATAATCAAAAAATCGAAAAATTGACAAAACCCGACATAAACCGAATCGAGAAAAAACCGACTTAATTGGTTCAGCTTGGTTCTAATATTTGAAAAATCGACTTACTTGGTTTGGTTTCTTTTTATGGGAAAACTGATCCAAACCGAACCATGAACACCCCTAATTGCCATGATTCATGTATTATGATTCTCTTTAAAGCATTATTAGTACTATGACTTCAGAATTTCCTTTTTGTAGAATTTCTCTTTTCTCATTTCCTTTTAGGGATTCCCTTCTTCATCTCTCTTCTCAGCGACACGAGTCATTACAACAAGTTAACAACTATGTCACTAAATTATATAACAAGTTATACCCACAGTATTTATTATCCATTTTAAATTATTTTCTCAAATCTAATAAAATATGTACTATCAATTAATATGAATATCATGATAAATTATATAATTCATTTATTATTTCTTTAAGGAGCATGAAAAGTAAAAACGTATCAAGTAAAAGTGAACGGAGGGAGTACAACGGTGTAATTGAGTCAAAAGTGAGTGAACAACAGAATTTTCAGTAAAGTTACACCTTTGCCTAAGCGTTTCAAAGACCGATGTTTAACTCACACATTTGTGTAAATTTCAATTGAGATGTCATTAAATTGAATGCCTAGTTAGATTCCAAAACACAAAGATTTGCCCATTTAAGATTAGATTGTGTACTTGAGGTCTATCTTGTAGCCTGCACTAACAACAACAACAACATCCCAGTATAATTTCACAAGTGGGACTGGGGAGAGTAATATGTACGCAGACTTTACCTCTACCCTGAGGGGCAGAGAGGCTGTTTCCAGGAGATCCTCAGCTCAAGAGAGGAACAAGAGACAGTATATTAGTACTATCAATAGACTCATAGTAAATAACATAAAATACATAACATAAAATAACAAAATAACAACAATACAAGAAATATAGGAAATACGAAAATGATGTAAGGTGAATATCCAAAAGATATAGCCTTGCATCAGTAGCCGATCAGTAGCATCCTAAGTCTAACTCCTAAATGGCTAGTCTCTCTCTAATGCGCTGTAGCCTGCAACAAGCAGTAACAAATTCATCAATCAATTTATTTAAATAAATGAAAAAGGAAGATATCTAGACATAAATATTGGGGGAAATCAATTTGTTATTTTTAGCCCATTTTTGTCCCTGCGCAATCACACTTACCAAACGGGGTCAGCCATCAACAAAAGAATATCAAACTCTACTCGTGTGAGGCTTCGTAGCCAAGAAGAATCATAGAATCTAAATTGAATTTATTTTTCACTCGAACAACAACAACCCAGTATAATCCCACTAATGGGGTCTGAGGAGGGTAGTGTGTACGCAGACCTTACCCCTACCTTGGGGTAGACAGACTGTTTCCAAATAGACCCTCGGCATCCTTCCCTCCCAGAACTCCCCCATCTTGCTCTTGGGATGACTCGAACTCACAACCTCTTGATTGGAAGTGGAGGGTGCTTACCATCAAACCAACCCCTCTTGTCTGAACAATATATACATATAGAACAAAAGAAAAAAGAAAACGTAGGACATACTCGTTTTGAACTTACTGACTCTATCTTTCTTTGAGCTTAGATCATGGGGTAAAAGTCAATCTCAAGTCCTGCTTACAGTTGTACCCAGTGCAAATTAAATGGTTCCTTTTGTGAAAAATCACAGAAATGGAAGAACAACGTAACTTGCATCTGGTGCAACTATAGGTTGGGCTTGAGAAAGGAAACTACTGACTGCTCTAGCATTTCTAACCCCTTTATAATGTGTCTCCTGAAAAAAAAAAACCCTAGCTAGGGGCATTATTGGGTTTTCAAGATTTTAAAGTATTTTGACTAAAGAGACAAATTGAGCCGTCCACTCAAATTTTAAGTACTGTATTTAATTATTAACCGAGAGGTTGTGAGTTCGAGTCTCCCCAAGAGCAAGGTGGGAAGTTCTTGGAGGGAAGGATGCCGGGGGTCTATTTGGAAACAGTCTCTCTACCCCAGGGTAGGGGTAAGGTCTGCGTACACACTACCCTCCCCAAACCCCACTAAGTAGGATTATACTGGGTTGTTATTGTATTTAATTATTAAGAATAGATTTGAATTTTGAAGAGTTCAATTTAAAGTAGAGGTTAATGATGTATTTTTAATTATATTTTTAAATATTAAATGGAGTGTTGTTAATTTGAAAACAAAGTTAATGTTAAAAGTGTAGTCTAGTGTGATGAGGTTTTCATTTCACAAAAGCATTGTAATTCCTCTGTTCCAGTTTATGTGAACCTATTTCCTTTTTGGTCCATTCCAAAAAGAATGAACCATTTCTAAATTTGGTAACAATTTAGCTTAAAGTTACAACTTTACCCTTAATGAGAAACTTTTATAACCACACAAATACTCTGGGCCCCATTTGGACTTGTTTAGAACCACAAATGCTAAAAGTCTTCATTTTTTTCTTAAACTCCGTGCCCAGTCAAACAAGTTCACATAAATTGGAACGGAGGGAGTAGTTACTATCTCAACCACTTCAAACTAATTGCTAATTCAAGAAAAAGGTTAATGTTAATTGTTAAAGCATACCAACAAGGTTCTACGTACTTATTTTATTCTTAATTAGAGGTGTCGGGTTCGAATTCTAGATATGATCGCCTCTGTTAGAGAACATTTAATGTGGCACTTCTTGGCACGAATCCGAATTTTGTCGGGCCTCCATGCGAATATCGAATACCAAGTGGGAAGCAAAAAACAAGATTGTTAAAGCATAGAGTAGTGTGATGAGATCCTGTTCGATCTCAACCATTTCAATTTTACTGTAAAGTCCGTGAAAAATTGGAGAAAAAATCGACATCAACATTATTTAAGTATTATGAATGTTATTACATAATTTTTTTTTAATAATAACTAGAATCAATGGACTACCTAAATATAACAAAAAGTCAGTAGAGAAAAAATATACGAGACATTGCGTCACAAAAAATAGTTTATTTACTTGGTGCAATAAAGTAGTAGTAATAGAGTAATAATTAGCAATTCATAAAATTATCCCTTATTTCCATATTATTCATTTGAATTTTCTAAGACTTAAAGAAAATTATTTATAATCAATAATCATGATGGTAGCCAAATTGTATTACTACTCGTTGTTTCTTTAGTTTCGACTATCTTATTTTCTTGTTGTTATATTTTTTTTTTATAGCTTTACTGCTATTGTATTTTTTTCCGAAACAACTATAATTATGCTCTCTTGAGCCGGAAGTTTATTAGAAATAATCTCTCTATTTTTACAAGATATGAGTAAAATCTACGTACATACTATTTTTCCTAAATTTAACTTGTAAAATTATACTGTGCATGCTATTATTATTATTATTATTATTATTATTATTATTATTATTATTATTATTATTATTATTATTATTATTATTATTATTATTATTATTATTATTATTATTTGTCAAAAACCCGGCGGCGGGCGCAAAGATAAGCATGAGTAATATCATGCATGTGTGGTTGCCCTAATAAGTCTTTGTTTCTTGAACCTTCTTTTCCCCAACTTTAAATATTACTTTCTCCGTTGTATATTAACAATTTGTTATTAAAAATAATTGTTTTAAATTATTTGTTATTTTAGAAGTTCAAGATAAAATTAATTTTTTTTCTTTTTTACCTTTAATAATAGTTGTTCTTGAAGATGGAAATAATACATAAATAGAATAAATATTCAATCAAGAGAGATTACTTAAGACATAAATAAGGATAATTGTTCTTCCATCTTTTTCGTACTTCCTATATTTCTTATGTTGCTGGTATTTTTATTTTATGTTATGCTATGTTATTTTATGTTATTTTATTATGAGTCTATTGATAGTACTAATATACCGTCTTTTGTCGCTGTGTTAAGCCGAGGGTCTCCTGAAAACAAACTCTCTGTCCCTCGGTGTAGGGGTAAGGTCTGCGTACATATTACCCTCCCCAGACCCCACTTGTGAGATTATACTGGGCTGTTGTTCAATCCCTTTCATAATTAAAATTTATTAAGGGGCATATAAAAAAGAAACACGACAGATGATACGAGACAGGGGAGTAAAATCTTTATAGTCTTTTGGAACGGTTTCAAATTTCAAAAGTTTCTTTTATCTTCTTTCAATAAATAGGCCCCTACTGATTTCAAAAGACAATCCTAACCCAAATGAAAAATCAGTATGAAAAGGAGAGAGAAGTTCATCCATGGTGTCAAGAGAAGAGATTGAGCTTTCAACCATGGATTTTTGTGGAGGATAGCTAATAGATCTATCTTACAGTTATACCCAGTGCAATTTATTTCTTATATGATGTGTTCTGATCTGCAAATTATTTTAAAATTTTTACCATTCTATCAGTCAATATGTGAGAATTTTTAAATTAATCCTTCGCTTATTGAAACTTGTAGTCTTGTTTTGATAGTCATTTCTTATGAAAGGCTACAAAGAAGACAAAGAGAGCGAGGGATTTGATATCAAATGTAAATTTGATGTGCGGCTGCATTTGTCGATGAAGAAGATAATTCCTGGGGAGTTATACATTTGTGTATTGATAAGACCGTTTACTATTTCTTGAAGTTCCTTATCGGGTAAGTTCCGACCCGCACGAAAGGCGTAACGATCTGGGCAATGTCTCGGAGAGAGGCTCGGTGAAATAGACATGTCTGTGAAGATGCGGACTACCTGCACCTGGACAGAAAGACCCTATGAAGCTTCACTGTTCCCTGGGATTGGCTTTGGGCCTTTCCTGCGCAGCTTAGGTGGAAGGCNGAAATAGACATGTCTGTGAAGATGCGGACTACCTGCACCTGGACAGAAAGACCCTATGAAGCTTAACCCTACAAATGAAATAGGGATTGAAAGAGTCAATATTCGCCCGCGAAAACTTTTTTAACATCGACATAAGAAAAAGTGGTTATTTCATCAAAAAATGTAGTAAATTGTTTGTGTATTGTATCCTACTTTAGAACCTAAGTACTCAAAATCGTATAATTGAGTTTTATAATACAGTTGTATCCAGTGCAATTTTCTATTTTGGAAGATACAGTTTATGAAGATCTTTTTTTTTTTTTCCTATTGTTATCCTTTTGTCATGATATTATCTATCCCAATGATGTCAATAGCTAGTATTATTCTCTTGACGTGATTAATAAATGTAATTTTATCTCTCAAATCTTGAGTTGGAAAAAAAATATTTGGTTCATCTTTTAAATGAGATACTAAAACCTTAATCTGAAATTAAACGGTTAAAATAGGTTATAATATACAACAATAACAACATACCCAGTAAAATAGGTTATAATATATATTCTATATAACAACACTTCACTGTAACATCCAAAAATATTCGGAACAAACGAGGTTGTTATAGAGATGTTTGACTATAGCATTATTTAGCGATGTTTAAGTTCCGAGTAGCTCTCTTAAGTATTACACTAAGCCAATAAAAATATGATCTGCTATGGTACATAGAGTTTTGCCACTCAATCCTGGAGAATGCACAATCGGGTTACAACAAACTGAACTTTGCCCATCAGGTGTTTGGTGGAAAGCCCGAAAGAAAAACTGATGTTGTAGATGTTGAAATAATGTTACCATCACCAGATGCATGAGACCAGAGGGTTGTATCGAGAATACTAATTGAAAATGACGGTGCTGAAATTTTTGCAACTCAAACGTAAGAGGAGATTTGTCACTCAGTTTTGGATGAGACTACAGAGGAGGCAGGCTTCCCCTTGCCGCAATACTTTGTTGAGCCATCTGTTTACAACAGCAACAATGAGGCGCATAAGGTGTTCGATGAAATATCGGATTGGTCTAAAGATGCTATTCTAGAACCACACAGGGAGTGTACGCTGACAACTGTGATGCTATTGAGGCATAATTCCCTACTAAACATGCGTATCCAGTCGCTCCGAGTGATGCGGTGAAGGACTATGCTATTGCTATTGCAAATGAAGACAAGAACACGGATGAGGAAATTGTTACCACTGGAAAAGAATTACTGCAATTTGTTCCTGCAATTGTAGAGAAACCTCCATTATGGATTGGTTCTACATTTTTTAGTTCCAGTGACCTTTTCATGCCTAATATTCAACATGTACTTGGGCTAGCCTAATGCTTGAAAGAGATTTCAGCTTGCAGTTACAACCAACTCATAAATAGAGGTACAAGTAATTGTATATTCTATTCTGCTTCGAGTGACAAGAAAGTGCCACCGTTACTAAAAGGTAAGTTTTATAGAGCAGTGGTTAGGTCTGCTATGTTATATGGAACTGAATGTTGGCCGGTAAAGAACTCACACACCCAGAAGATGAAAGTAGCAGAGACGAGGATGTTG